CAAATCACTACTTGTGTCTTCATTTGTTTACAGCTGACCAGGACCAGGAGGGAATAACATGCACAGCTTCTCTAGTTTCAGATTCCTTAGCTAAAAGTTTCAGAGGATAACATTGTGAGGAAAAGGAGGGAGTCAGCAGTCATACTCCCACTTCGCACCATCGCAGTCCCACCAGCTGCAATCGTAATCACGGCAGCTCCCACCTTTCAACTCGTCAACAAAGTGGAAGCAGATTGTCGGAGGAGTTGCATGCTCATCATCAAATTGCGCGTGTGGGAGCAAGGTTTCTTGACCTCTTGTCAAATCAGGGGAAACTCTCACTCCTTAACGAGAAGCTGAATTCATCCGGGCATATTTGTGAGAACTCATAAACCTCTCTGTGGGTATGCATCACCAATGTACAAACGCGAGGCCAAGGTGCTCTGACATGACTTCAGTAGCCTAAAATAAATAAATAAATAATAACAACCCCCCCCCCCCCCCCCCCCACCAAATTGTGCCAGACTGGTGGCTCCAAGCAGTTAACACCTCAGTTCCCATCCGCTGAGATTAAGCGGCCAGCAAACTTCCCCACCCCCTCCAGCAAGTCATGTTTTGGCGAAGGCCACCCCGGCAATTGGTGCCACTTGAATGATGCGCTGCACGAAGTAAACAACGGCCAAAAGAATCCCATCACTCCCTTTTTCCTACTCTTGCCCCCTGGCCTATTTCTCAGCTTCTATTTATTCTTGAGAAAAAAGAGGTGATATAGTGAAAAGCTTGTATATGCCTCACAGCTGGAAACTGATCGGACTTTTTACAACTCACCGTGTGCCGCCTGTGAGAAAATGCTGTAGTGGCTCTGTCTCCCTTGAGACCATGTGGTGTCAAAGATACGGCCGTGGGCCGGAACCGGCCCCCAAGGAGGTTCAATCAGGCCCGCAGGATAATTTAAAAGTGAAAAAATGCATAAAAGACACGGAATTAATATTTTTAATAAGGTGCAATTCATGGAGTATCCGCTAGGGGACACACTGTTTTGATCAGAGTAGAAAACAACATTGTTTTGATCAGAGAAGAAGACAACAGCAGTCTCAGTCTGTCACTGAGACAGACCCAACACAGCAGCCGCTGTCAAGGACATGTGAATACTTTATTCTTTGCACATTTAATAGCACTCTCCTTAGTTTGTAAGGTGTAGGCAGGGATTACATTTAGATTTTATATGCACATGTGTAAATGGTTGACAAATTCCTTTCTTTATAAATCTCGTTTCATCTTAAAGTGCATGACTACATTTTTCAATACCAATTACTCGTTAAAGTTTTGTGCCTTTGTACAATCAGTGGGATCAGTTGCAATGCACCTATGTGAATGACAAAAGTAAATTGCACATTTGTCGAAGGAAATCTAAGGTGCTTCATGAAATGTTTTGGAAAAGGTATGTTTTCCTAATGTTCTTGTGCTTCTTTCGACCAAAACAAAGGAAAGCCATATTATTTTGGTTATTTATAGCAGAGTATGGTATAATTTTAATGGTCCGGCCCACTTGACATCTACCGAGGCCGTATGAGGCCCACAATGTGAAATGAGTTTGACACCGCTGCTTTAGACTTTCTCCCATTTTCCGGGTTTTTGGTCTTGTTTGTGGCTTGGCCTCACAGCCTTCCAGCACAGACTCACTCATCTCTGAAGCACTTTTAATGTGTAGAAGCTGCCTTCATCCTTTTAACATTTTCCACATTTTGACCAATGCTAATCATTTTAAGTATCGTTGATGGCTTGTAAGCTTGCTAATGATTTTACTGTATTAAAAACTCAGAGGATAAAAATCCTTGGCTGCCAAGAAACCAGTTCCCTTGACCAGTGTGAGGTGAGTGAGGTTTTGGAAGTGTACAATGGAATGAGAAAGAAGGGGACGGATGACAAATTTCTCTTCCTGCCTTGAAAGTACGCGGAGTGGGGGTGTCCCTTTGAGAGGGGGACAGTATTCAGTGGGCTCGCTCCATGTGGTAAACTTGAGTCAGAACTTGGAAACAAAGCCCCCCTTCCTTTGCGACAGGCAACTTTTAACAAAGACATTTTGAAAGGAATCTCAGTGGAATGCCGAATGAAAGAAGGGAAACGGTTTGGCCTTGGTCTTCTCCATTTGGATCGAGCCATCTTGTGAAATCAGCGTAATTGTACGAGGGGTAGCAGTGAAACCTTAATATTTCAATGGCTCGAGGTTTTACAACTTGTTGGAGAAACGTGCTTCTAAACTTGCACAAAATATAGTTGGGAGTTTGAACATGGCTGCGATTGTTTTTTTCTTTTTTTAAGGATGAGCCTCAATAGAGAAGCATTTAAGAGACAATGAAAATAAGAAGAGACTAAACATCGGAAATGAAAGAGACTCGCTTACGTGACAAGAGAAAGGACATTTCAATTTTTATGTTTTGGGTTTTTTTTTTCGGTCTTAATCTTGCCAGTGGTTAACTTATCATTTATTAAACAGTGAATAATGCTAAACTCAAAACTTTAGCTGGTTAATGAAGGTTTTATTATGGCACATGTTTGACCTTCAAACAGATCATTTCTACAGTGGTACCTCTACTTACAAATGTCTCTTCATATGAAATTTTCAAGTTATGAAACACCTCAACAGGAAAATATTGCCTGTTGTTACGAAAGAAAGGTACAAATACGGTATGGGCTGCTAGTCGCAGCTCCGAGTTTCCAGAACGCAACATACTTATAGCTGCTCTGCCATTGGCTATTATCAAGCATCTTCCTGGCATCCCATTGGCTAAGAGGGACCCTTACTGTATATGTCTATGTATATAGATAGATAAATAGATAGATACTGTATGTGTCTATGCAGCGTCCTCGTCATTCACCCCTCGGCCATGAGGCGTTCCGATAGTTTTACCTCAATGTGAATCACTCAGAGAAAGTGTTCACCAGTCAGCTCAACATGCTGATGTTTGCCTTGGACATTTTCAAAGGATTGTTAAAAGCAGACAAAAGCAAATTCGGGCATTTACATGGAAAACGCGTGTCTTCTTATAAAATTTTCTAATTAAGAAATTTCTTCCAGAACCAATTAATTTCGTAAGTAGAGGTACCACTGTAATTCCATTTACATTAAGGGCAAAATAGTTTTGAAATGGGAACAAATCAGCTTCTGGCCATTGTCCCACTAGAAGAGTAGTTTGTGTTTGTTTTCCGCCAAAGGTTATGATTAATAAGTGGCGACTTACTCCACCTTCTTGGGCTCTTATTCAACCAATAAAACCAATGGATCGGTGTTTGGTTTTCAATCCAGTGCCTGGCCGTGTTTGCTTAGGGCGATGCTTTCAGTATGCATCGGCCTACGACTTCTAACAAAAGAGCAGCAACACCCTCCTACATACTGCTGTTTACCCCCAGGTGTCGTCAATGGATTTGGCTCACATCCATGCTCACGAGTTTTATCGCGAAATGAAAACTTTCACTTTGGTGAAGCATGGCAGCACTTTCATTTTATGGGCGTCACTGCTTCTGTACGATTAGTCATTTTGTTTGATTGAACTCAAGGAAGTCCTGAGATCAGCCACTTCTCTCAATCTATAGCCACAACTCTCCCTGTCATGAATCACTTGGAACCAACACACTCTGAGCTAAATGGACACCCCCCAACACCCCCACCCCCACTCCCACCACCACTCCTCGCTCCCCCTTAATCACATTAGCCTAAGTGATATGGGAACGGCAGGCCAGACGCACACTCCCTCCTTCTCTTTCGCTCTTTCAACTTGACTAAATAGCCACTCCTCCGGAGATTTAAGTTGTCTTAAGCTCCATCTTTGGATAATAGACTGTTTGCTCCCTCAGAGACCCCAGTTTGGAATAATGAGGATCAAGAAGAGAGCACAGAAAGCAAAATGAGAGCAAGTAAAGAGGGTGAACAGAGAAGGGGCAAGGACATTGTGCTAATACCCACCCACGGACAACTTCCATCAAAAATACTTTTGTTAGGGAGGGGAGGATGGCTGCTTTTTTTCGGGGGGGGGGGTGCATTAAAACCTTTGTATAATCAGATGACAACTGGAACCTTTTTTTTGTCTGAAAAACCTAAAAAAGAATCTTGTGAAAAAATGAAAAATCAGTTTGAGGTGCCATAAAATCTTGAACTTTACCAGCTCCAAACAAGTTCTTATCAGCCGTACGGCTGTAAAAAAAATACCCACAGTAATATAATTGAAAAAGTCTTGATTTTAATAAGAAGCAACAGTTCATTATGGTGCCACTGGAATCTGACTCTCAGTTCTGGTTATTCCTCTTTTCTTCTCTTTTTCATCTTCTCTTATCATCCCTGGTTAAAGCTTGACCTATCTTTTTTGGGTCATTAAAAAAAAAAGTGGCGAAAAAGCAAAATACATGCGAAGAATTACTGATGCTCAAACCGATTTAAACTCCAAGATTTTGTACAACTTTAGGCCGTATGTTACTGAGCGCTGAAGGTTTGCGAGTGTGTGCGCACGTAGCGGATGTTGTTGTTTTTCATCAGGGTTCGTTCAAAGTCGCAAACGATCGCTACCCTGATCAAAAACTCTTGCAACGTTTGCAGTGGTGTGATACTCCCCCCCCGGAAGTACTTCTTCAAATTCCAAAATGCACAGCTTCGGTTGCGTTCGACCTTATGGGGGCCACTGTATGTTGTTGTTGTTTTATTGCTGTTGATGCGGAATTCTAGCTTGAGTGGAACTTTATGGGGCAGATTAGCTCCAGGTGAATTATGCTCGCAGCTGTCGAAACCAAACAACGATACCTTAAGATAAATTCAACCATTTTTTTGACCTCGTCGATTGAAACAAGTGACACACTCATGAAATGTGGCCCCACTGTACCTGTAAATCTACTTCACGCCTCATCGAAGCCATTCTCATCGTGTTCACCCTCCATCATATTTTTGGAAATGTTATTCCACTCTTTCTTCAAGCCAATGCCTAATAACTCTTGTTTCTCCCCCTGTTTTTTTTTTTTTTTGCCTACGGAAGCTCACAAGTATATCATTGCAGGTAAGAACTGGCTTTAAAATGGTCGCATAGTTCAAAGCGTTTTTCAGTCAGTGTTAATTGTGGTTAAGTTCAAGGAGACATGAAAATATTGCAGAGTTACTCAGTGGAATCTTTGTTGGTTGTTTGTGGCAGATCTAACCTTTTACTTGTGGTCGTAATCTAAAAATGCTGCATCCCTAACTTTCAGTCAAACTAGTTTATATACACCTGAGTATGCCTCAGTGTATGGTATGGACTTTAAAAACTCACACGACTTCCCGGAGAGGATAAGAGTGAGGGCAAGGTCAAAGGTCATGCGTGGCTAAGCAGTAAAGGTTTGGGTTATTGCAAAAGTTTTGGTCTCCTTGGGGATCTTATTAACTGCAACTCTGGAGGTCAAAGCCAAGCAAACAATTACCTCCAAGAAGATGAGACAATGTACCGTACGGGCTGAATTATGCGCCACCATAAAGTCAAATTGCTAAACTTGACATTGCGCATTGAAAGACTGAATCCGAATTACAATAATTTAATTTGCATTGTTGAATTTCAATCGTTACGTTTAAAAAACTGCATCTGAATTATACAATTTGAATGTGAAATTCGTATTTTTTCACATTCAGTTTTACCTGTAACAATTCAAATTGTCAATACGCGAATTCAGTTCGACAAACATCTGATACTTGAGGATGAGCAATCGACAGCAGAACCCAGATCTCCCCTTCGTCCAATCAGCATCTTCGTTTTGAGCATGTGACACAAGCGCTCCAGTAAATAAATAATGTGATCTCCTAAGCGGCTCTTCACCTTTACTATATAAAACCTTTCTTTAACCTTTGTGGTAGAAAATTAAGGATTGCAGTGCTTTGTTCACTGCCTCTGTATGTTATTGTTGAAAAGAATTGATTTCTTTAGGTCCGGCCATGTTCTTTAAAAAGCCCATGAATAGCACATTGAGCTTGCAGGTGCTTTTCTGAAAGACCGTATTACCAGTATATTGTTGCGCTTCCCCTCCAGCCTTAAGGAACAAAAAGCAGATAGTTTGGGCTGTTTCAAATGTTACGCTCTATCAACAATGCGCACAAACGGTCTTCCTTTTTTTTTTTCAGCGGACCTTCATTGGTGTAGTCACTGAACGGGAGATATTTTGTCATATACCCGCAATAACGCATCCCTCTTTCCATTTCCTTTTCACGCTTTCTTTGTTGAGCTCTCCTGCCCATTTTAGGCCACACAAGCAACACCGTTTTGTGCGCGAGTTATCTCCCGTTCTTTTTGGCATCCCATCCTCCTTGTATCCTTGAGTTAAAATTAAAGTCCGCCCAGGAGGTCCAGCCTTGGACGAGACACTTTCCCATCTATCTGGAAAGCCTCCCCCAGCAGTCAGGGCCATCCTGACCCTGTGTTTCTGCCTCTGTTCAGATAAGAGGCTAATGAAGTGACACACTCACCAAAGTTCTCAAGGATTGGATTTGTCTCTTCCATTCTTCAGCCCCTCGATGGCGGATCAGTCACATTTGGCATCGCTACCATACTCGCTCAGTTTGGGACGCATCAACAGCAGGGGCTTTATGTGCCTGACCTTCATGATAAAGCCATGCTTGATTTTGACCTCCTTTACCTTCTTGGCTCTGAGTCATTTGTTTTTCTTTGGTTGTTATTTCAAGTCCTCTGTGACAAATCTGTCAGTTATTACCAGTGTCAACTTCGTCTTGTTTGTGTCCATTTCAAAGTGTCAGGGCTTTGGAATATAAACATGTTAGTTCATGCCGTTTGGCATGTGCAAGTACTTCCTTGCAAAAGACTTACAAGTATTTATTTCCATGGACACCTGCACCAGGACTGTTTATTTCCCGCTCCACATGTCTGAGCCTGAGAGTTTATTTCCGAAAAGTGTCTTGAAGCAGATGAGCTGTCTCGAGAGCAGACGCCTCTGGCAATGTAATGTTGCTATTGAAAAAGCGCTATAATTTTAGATTTTGTTCAATCAATGCTAATCTGTTTTTTGGCAAACATTGTGGGGGGGACATACATTTGACCATATCATAGTCATCGAAAAACGGTCTTGAATAAAGACCATATTTCGGAGCAAAGCCACCCAAGCATTCTATGACTGTATATATATATATATATATATATATATATATATATATATATATAAAATATATACATCGTATTTGTTAAACCATACATGACATTTTTTGAGGGTGATGCACTTAACAGACAGTATTCACTTTTGTGGTTGCAATTAATTTCTCGTAAGTCATTTTGATAAAAACGTATTTTACTTAAGAAAAGAAATTCAATGGGACCCTGGTCGGCACTGATTTGTTTGCATTTGGAGTCGCCGGAATTTTTTTTCCTGCATCAAAAATAATGATACTAAACCCCCTTCCATAATCTCCAACACTCACAAATATTTGTTAAAATGGTGCTCAAAGGCGGCGTTGCCTGGAGGACCATTGGGGTTGCAAAGGGGGACGAGGGTTGGGCGTGGTCTACCTGTGACGACGACGTAAATCATTCCTATACTACGACAAGCTACGCTAAATAAACTAACTACATGCTATGATAATAAATCACGAAGATGAAAATTGACATCAAGATGTTTGCAAACGCTACTGTTCCAACTCCAACTCACTACAGCGGCGTATACGAGACGGAGCTGCTTGTAGAGAGGGGTTCGGACTTTTTTAAATGCTGAGATTGGTCTTTCTTTCAGAATTAAAAAAAACCCCACTGAATAAATAAACAAACAAACAAATGAAAAGTCTTTCCGACATAACCTCAGTGATTCACTTAAGACGATTGTCGCCCAGGGGCATGTTTATTGAGTTGCTGCGGTTGTCTTTCTTCACTGTATCTGATGTTAAATGCTTCAGTTTCTCTCTCTCTCCTTCAGACCGTATAACAAACGAATGCACGTTTTCCCTAAATACAGACAACACCGGTACAATAAGGCGTTAGGACTTTTCATTCCAACCCCCATGTAAAATTCTTATCTGCAAGGTCTCATCAAACTTGGTGAAATATTCCTGCAATGTCTGCTCATGCCTCCGACTGGCCTTGACCCGCCACATGTCCAACACAGTTTCTTAAACTAATCGGCATACTTAATTTTAAATATTTTATTTCAAAAAAAGTGCTTTGTGTTTACTGTAAATGAAATTATTTCAGTCTCTCGCTTTACCACACTGGAAAGCCAGAAAATGCTCAGCATTGTAATGTAGCACATCAAATGATGTACTGGTACTTCCATTTTATGTCTTACTGTGTGAATTGTGCAGACTCAGGCATCCAAATTGAAGGTCTCTCAAAGGATTAAAAGCTCTTTGCGTAATTGGGAAGGCTGGAGCTCTTTTCCCAACAGTCTTTGCAACGTTCTCTTCTCTTAGAAACTGCTGCCATCTCTTGGCAAGATGCATATCCTGTACTCCATTTACAATGTGTGAGCAGACACTGCCTGCTGAGAAAAACCAGGAGGAATTGTAAAAAAAAAATATTTGTCAATTATCCTTGTCCATTTTCAAATCTTCTTTCTCCGGTTGAGGGTTCGGGGGGAGCTGAAGCTTAGCCCAGCTGACTTTTGGTCAAATGGCAGACTCCTCCCTGGACTTGCTGTCACTGAATCATGCAGAAACACACTCATTCATTTGGGCCCTCGAGTTTTCTTGTGTTTTATGTTTACCTATTTTTTATGACGTTAACAACCCTAATTAACATAATATACAGTATTTAACATCTTTGTTGAAAAAAAAAACAACTCATATTCTATTTTGGGAGGATGCAATTTGAGTGAGTAAATTAAAAGTGAAGTGGAATTCATCCTCTAAAGTCCTCTAAAGTCGGTTGGTAGTCGGTTGGTCCTTGAGATAATCAACATTTTTTAACGCGTACAAAAAAAAGAGAGGTAGTGGCGACCAGTTGCAATACCAAGAGGGACCACTAGGAGAGGCTCTTGCTCCAGCACGAAGGTGAAAGTGCTCTGCTGAGAAGTTCACATCAACTATGAACTCCGCGGGCACACACACACACACGCACACACACACACACACACACACACACACACACACACACACACACACTGGAGTGAACAAGTCAAGAGTAATAGTTTTGAAATTGTTTTCCAACATTATTGTTTTCTTTCTTTTTGGCTAAGAATTAGTTTGTTTAATTAATTCATGAAAGCAATATCATCCTGACATTACATGAGAGGTCAGAAGACGCATTTTTCCCTTTTGTGTTCGGGATAGGGTCATCAGGTCTCATGATTGCATTGAATTATTCACATCAGTATCATTGTCCTGCCTGGTTGGAGCTAAAGATTTGTGTTTGCTTTAGCGTCAGTCCTGAGTTTCCAACACACGCGTACTTACTGAGAGATGCTGAGTCATCATGCCCCTCTGTTCGAGAGGGTGGCTCAACAAGAGTGTGTAAATTCCCATATAAACGGCTGTGATTAAGCATCACGGTATTACCAAGTAGAAAGCCATTTCATGTCACTATTTTTGTTTTTTATTTTTTTTGGTGGGGAACAAGCAACACTCATCCTCCATCAGTTGCTGCCACAAGGACATCACATTATTATTCACTCACATACTTGGCACATGACAAACAACCCAGAATGTGTTTTCATTGAGCTATTTCAGGTTTAATTATGATTTTTTTTTTTTTTATATTTATTTTTTTTTATCTAACATCTGGTCGTTGGATAGTGAGTGATGAGCATGGGGGACTGAGTGGAAAGGGTCTCTGGGAATTGACATAAGTCTTTATTAGCCCATTATACACATGCACGATCATTAAAAGGGAGCAATTGGGGAGGCAGAACTCTAAAAAGGAGAGCGGTGGTTCATGCTCATTCATATTTAATATGTCATTTGAGCCGCGTAGTGTGGAATCTTCATCGCTCGGGTGCACCTCTGGGGTTATTATATAGACAAGGGCGTTGTCTCCCATTCTAATCCTGTGGTCTGTGTGTGTGGGGGGGGCACTGTTGTGCACTGACATTTTATTTATTT